GTAGTGGTAGAAGGAATTGGATTAGAAGATACGTCTTCCTCATCTTCCGCTGCTGAGTCAAATGGGTTTTGTTGGTTTCAGCAATATCAGCTGCAATTTGTTCATTACACTTTAAAGTTTTTAATTTATTTGCTTAAAACTCTCCGTTGAAACAAAGTTCTTTAAGTTCATTCCAGCCATTTTGGCTGTGCTGATCATAATTACCCCATCACTATACGTTGACTGATCATAATTACCCCGAATGGGGTTCCCCAACCCCATTTGGGGTAAGTATGATAAATCGATACCTGCTTGCTGGAAATTGATTAGTACTAATTAACGCTAATGAATTTTGAGATAATTTTTACATCGATCGATAGGTAAGACTCAGCTCAATCGATTTATCATAATTACCCCAAATGGGGAAACCCCATTTGGGGTAATTATGAGCAGCACAGCCAAAATGGCTGAAATGAACTTAAAGAACTTTGTTTCAACGGAGAGTTTTAAGCAAATAAATTAAAAATTAGTTCATTTTGTAGAGAATTCTTTGCTCTATTTCTCATGTGAATTGCACATCATTCGGACTTGACCTGAATTAATTAATGAGAAATTACGAAAATTAAAAGGGATAGTCATTTTTTCAGTATATATGCTTTGGGGCAATTATGATCACTCTACTGTTTTTCATGGGGTAATTATGATCAATCCGTGGAAATTACACGGAATAAACAGGATTTGACATGCGCCGATCTGTAGAAGGCGGCTTTTAGTCTAGTTCAAGTGAAGAATGTCTTCAGAATATTATAACTAATTACATATGTTAAAAGCGGAATAAAAACGCGTGTTTTTAGCAAGTACTGTGCATAAAATGAACATCGTTGATTATAATGCATTTCTGTTCATTAAGATTAGCAGAATAATTAGCTAGAGCCTTAATTAGCGGTCGGATCACGAACAAGTTGAACTTTTCATGTACACTATCAAATTCTCCTTCTAATAGACCAAAAAGTTTTTTTAAAACACACAACATACCAAATGACACTACAATGATGTCGAAAGCATAACTGCTTCGTAATAGCTTTAAAAATAACACAAATAATTTCTCCCAAAAAAGTGCTTGTACTAATGATTGAAATAAGATGCTATTTAATTCATATACAAATTGAAATGATAAAAGTACTGATTGCATATGTGTACGGAGGATACCAGTGCTTCTTACTCATTATTTCTTACTCACTCGTTATTGCACATATCAATGGCTCGAACTTATGTTAAGAAAGGACAAGGCTCTCGTTATTCAAATGAAGATTTTCAAAACGCTCTTGTTGAAATTTCCAAACGCAACAATATTCGTGCTGCGGCCAGAAAATACAATATTCCTTATGCAACATTACAAATTCATTATTCTTCACAAGCAGATCATCGTGGTGCGGGACGGCCAACACATTTTACAGATTTGGAAGAAAAGTTTTTAGTCGGTGCAGTAACAGTTCTCCAAGTAAGTTATCTGTTTATAGTTTAAATCAGTTGAAATTGTAAATGTGATCGTTATTCGTAGGAATGAGGCCAACCCATAACTATCAACCAACTAATTCAAATAGCTATATATTATGTGCAAAAACTTGGAAAAAATGTAATATTTAAAATTGGAAAACCAACTGTTGAATGGTATTATTCATTTATGATAAGGCATCCCGAAATCAAAACAGCCACACCTATCCCTCTTGAATTACCGCGTGCGAAAATAACACAAGCAATAGTTGATAAATGGTTCAGTTTATTTGAACAAGTCATCAATGAGAATAATTTAATTGATAAACCCTTCCAAATATTTAATTGTGATGAATCGGGTTTTGTTGATAAAACAGATACCACAAAAGTCATAGTAAGTACTTATCTAATCGGACAAAATTTCCATATAAGAAACAAGATGGTACAGGAAAGTCATATTATTCGGTAAATTGTTTTGTATTAGTGCCGCTGATGTTATTTTACCACTTTATATAATACACAAAGCCAAAAGATTGTATGGTGATTGATGTCTTCACGGTAAGTTCCCAAATTCTATTTAGGCTATCCAACTTTTACATGCCGATTCTACAATGAATCTTCATTTTAGGACCACCAGGTGCCGCATATAATACATCGAAAAACGGCTGGATGGAAGAAAATGTTTTTTATGAATGGTTTAAACATTTATTTATTCCTCAAACTGCCAGAACACCAAAACCAATTTTATTAATGTTAGATGGTCATACATCTTAAAATAGCGTTCGTACAGTTGAATTAGCCATTGAAAACAATATCGTTTTATTATGTATACCACCACATTCGGCGCATATTCTTCAACCACTGGGTGTTACATTTTTCAAATCTATCAGACAAAAATATGGAGAAATTCTCAGTGAATATTACCAAAGATCTTGTTATAAGAAGGTTTCAAAGAAGGTTTTTCCATCATTAATGGTAATATTATTTGGATCGGCTGCTGCGAAGAAAGCCAATATTATCAAAGGATTTATGAGTACCGGTATTTATCCATTGAATAAAACAGCAATAAATCTACAAAAGATTTTAAAGTGTAATGAACAAATTGCAGCTGATATTGCTGAAACCAACAAAACCCATTTGACTCAGCAGCGGAAGATGAGGAAGACGTATCTTCTAATCCAATTCCTTCTACCACTACTCAGCTATTCATGACAAGTATGTACAAAAAGACAAATTAATATTTAAATATAAAAGACAACATTATAAATAATTCTATTTATAGAGAAACAATCTACAACTGCCATATCAAATAGACCGGATTTAAATACTAGCCGATGGGTTAAGGATAGTAAGTTAAAATTTTGTGAGGTTTACTTCTTAATCAAACTTAAATTCTTAAACAAAATCAATTATTTATGACAACTGTGAAATCAATTTTAACAATGGAAAGTGATAAATATGCATATGATCAAGAAGAAGAAGAAAAAAATGTTGAACGTGTAAAAAAAGCTGCATATGATGTTTTACGGGTATTAGAAAATGAAGAGAAAACATTAAATAATAATAATAATAAGACGAAGAATGAGCAATGAAATCAAGATGAATATAATTTATGATGAAAAACTAGTCTCACTAATAACTACTAGAAAACGCGTTGATTTTAAAATGAAAGTTTTTCTAAATGATCGATGAACTTATCACGTCGGAATGACTTGCATGGTAGAGATAAAGAATCCTAAGATAATAATACATTGAGAAAATTGTTTTAATTATTTGGCAAAAGATTTTTTAAATTCTAAATATAACATTTATTAAAACACTGTTTTGTTTTAGGACTTCCAGAAAACCTTTTGAAAACTCTTCTAAAGCAAATGTGGATTCATAAACTAGACACCATAGCCTGTTGAACCATACGCATATCTCCAGATTGGCTTTTTGCCATTTTTAAGACGAGAAAGAGGCCTTAAGAAAGAATAGAAGGTAGTGGCAGTTTGTGACACCATTGCAACTATTGGTAGTAGTTTAAATAGTTTGTAATAGCATTCTAGTAGTTTGATCAGTTCTATTGCTATATCATGTGGCATCGTCAGAGAAGGATCGACTTGATGATGATGACAGGGGAGAAGTGAGTTTAAAGATTCTTATAAAGTCATACTCAGAAAATTCTGGAAATTTTGAAGAAATTTTTGAAATTCAAGAAAATTCTTGAAAGTTTGTAAGAAATTTCTTGAGGTTTGGATGAAAATTCTTGAAATGTTAACGAAAGTCTTTGAAATTTTCAAGAAAATTCTCGAAAATTTAATTAATATTCTTAGAATATTGCAGAAAATTCTTAAAATTCTGGAAGAAAATTTCCAAATTTTTAAGAGAATCCTTGAAATTTTCAAGAAAATTCTGAGAAGTCTGAAGAATGTTTTTGAAATTTCGAGTAAGTTCTTAACATTTTCAAAGAAGTTTTGAACAAATAAGGAAAAATTTTCTAGAAACTCAAAAGAAATCCTTCGTAAAAAAAAAGAAATCGTAAAAAGGACAGGGTGCAATAAGAACGAGGGTCCGCCCCATTTCAGATCTTCTCGAAATGTATCTAGAATGAAAGAGCATACAATTTTATGGGGTTCTACACCCTAGGTTCCCCTTCGGACCTCACATCTGTCAGAAAATCGATTAGCTTTGAACAATAGATGCGCGAGCCCATTCCAAGGCATTTTTCGTAATTTTCTCAGAACACAACAAGTTTCTTTTAACTGTCGATAGCACAATTGGCAATGGCGCCTTTAAAAAAATGATTGTTTTTAGAGATTTGAGGGTTCGAGGGAATCGAATTCCGAACGACTTTTGTATCCGAACTTTTTCTTGAAAACGATTCCTTCAAATGAAATTTGGTTCAAAGTGTTTATAAAAAACCCATTTTCAACCAGCACTAAGTAAAATTTTGAAGTATCCATTTTGGTTCTCAAACTTAACAAGTTTTTTATTGACAACTAGTACATTTTATTCAAAAACCTACGCAGTTTTTATTTTCTATGCGGACAAAAAGTTCCAGTCGAACATTCGGCATTAAAGCGGATCAGTTTTTATTCGCAATTTTAAACAGCCTGTAACACGCTCTTTCAAGATCGTACAAACGTGGTCAAGAATTCATTTTGTGGAGAATTGAAGGGGCTATCCAATGATATGATTGAAAAACTTCTGAAAGAAATTTTAAGGTCACTGGGTTTTCTAGAAAACCGAGTTTTTCAGAAATCTCTAACTCAAGACCCCGAGGGCTAGCATAACGTTTCTTCATCGAAATATATAGAACGAAAAACACAGAAACGTTATCCGTCAGTATGCCTGAAAACATCACTCTGCAGTAGTAATATCCCAAAAAGCGAGTGTTCGCACTTCCAACTAGAATTGAGTTACCCATCATTTTGTAGAGTTTTGAAAGAGCTTTCTTTCGATATATAATGTGGACTGCAACCTGGATTCTTTCATGGTGAAAAAGTTGAAATGTTATCGTGGACTATGCTGAAAAGGTCATTTTTAACAGTAATATTCCAAAAACGTGGGTGTGACCAGTGTACATAACAATTAAGCAATAGATAGTTTTATTCGCCGTTTAAAGCTGCATCGAATGGTATATAAGACTTTCCTTCAAACTTGTTGTGTTCTGAGAAAATTACGAAAAATGCGTAAATATCTTTTCTCCAAAAAAAAACGAGAGCAGCTAAGATATTGGATGTTGATATTTGAGATATTTCCCACAGGATAGAATACTTTCAAACTCTTTCTCGGGGGATACATTCAAATTTGTTCCCTCGTAAAAGACAAAATCAAAAATATTCTCTTAAATAAATTTTAATATTACAATCATATTAGTTATATGAGTTCCAATGTAAAATCGTTTGTAACTTTGCAACATCAAGTTCCAGCCATCAGTCTTTGAAATATGTTTTGATTTTATCAACATATTTTGAACGGTTTCCTTATTTTCATTTAATTCGTTTAAAGTTGAATCAAATTTCTTTTCAATAGCTTTTCTTTCAATTTTTTATCATTAATTGCTGTTCGTATATTGTTAGATTGTTCTGATAAATGCCTTTCAATTGAACCGAAATGTAAATTGAATAGATTGTTTACTCGTTCTTTTGCTTCATCAAGTGCATGCTGTTCTAATACTATAAAATTTTCTTTCGATAAGTCTATCGCATTTTGTTCTAATTGCTGTTTGGATAATTAATTAACTTTGGTTTTATATGTACCTTTGACTAACCACAAGAAATACCAACGTTTACAACGCACGAATATTTCTGTTTGCGTAAGAGCTTTTGACAAATGATCCATATTCAATGTGTTTGATGAGCTTTTCAAAGAGATTACTTCAAAACCAAGTAATGATTTTAGACGCATACCAGTACGTTCACAAACATCCTCGGTTTTAAGTTCTAGACATTTTTTAAAAGTGAAACACATTCTGTTTAGATCTGCATTTATAGTTCGGCTTAATGTATGCATTATATCTTCACTAACTTCTTTTACACTGTAGAAAAAGTTTCGAAGAATACGTCTGCATCCTCTTATGGGTTAAAATACAGTATATCTTTGCCATGAAGTAATTTTTTCCAATAACTACCGCTATGACGCGTAGATTTATCGTCAAGAATCTTGGCCAGAGAATGCGAACTTAGGCTTGCGGTTGTATCAAACAAGGCTTTTACATATTCAACAACGTCACGGTGAAAATTATCAAGATCGTTTTTTGTATTTTTTCGAATCCGATTAAGTTGTTGTTTATCTTTCTTTTTTAAATAAACTTTTTTATTTCAGTGAAATACAGAACAAATCGAGACAATTGTCACATTACATGTTCATAGTTTACTTAATACATGAGTAAGAAATCTCAAGTTTATATCGTTACTGTAAAGATGACGCGGAAGAAAACATATGGAGAAGAGAGAGAGAGAGACCACAGTCTGTTGAGATATCACACGTAATAGCGAGAGTCATAGGAGTGAGCGCGAGGTGTAGGTGTTTGGTAGCACCATGGAATTTGGAGATTATTTAAAACGAGCGGTGTTGGCTATGAATTGACATACAGCTTCATATATTTTGAAATAATTAGCTTTGTTGAAAGATGATCTTAATAGAATAGCGTTTTTATTAAATGGAATATTTAGTATTTTAAATTGATTGATAAGGACGTTTCTATGCGAAGAATAGTTAGAGCAATCAAATAGAAAATGATTGCAGTCTTCTTTACACGACACTGGTGGAGACAGAGATAAACAGTGGAGGCAGTAGGGAGATGTAACACATTTTCTTTGGAACAGATAAGAGTTTAACTGTGGAAAATCTACCCTTAAACGGCAAAAGAGGGCTTCTGTGCGTCGACTAGTTGTCGATGGTATTTTTAAACGATTCCCTGTTAAACTGATTCTTAGCTCTTTTCTGAATATAGAACTTTTTTTTTTTTAACAAAGCGACGGTGATTTTGCTGTAAGTTCCTTCCACTTCCGAATCATAGTTGGGTAAAAGGAATCTTGAAAAGTAGCACTTTTATCGCTGTAGGCGTACATATCATTTCTAGTGTTACTACGAAGATAATATTGAGCATTTTGCGATAAAAAACGGATATGATCCTGCGCATGCACGCGAACTAGACCATGCTTAATTTTAAAGAACATGCACATGCGATTTACTTCGAATAGGTTCCTGATCGAGAGCCATCCAAGATCGTTAAGTACTTTG